TGCCTGGGCGGGATTTGGGATGTCCGGCATTCTCCCCTCGGGATGTGGGATGGCAGGGCTGTTTCCTGGGATGCGGGGTGCTCGGAGTGCTCCCCGCGAGATGTGGGATGCCCGGACGGGATGTGGGGTGTCCAGGCGAGATGTGGGGTGCCCGGGCTGCTCCCCCCAGAATGTGGGATGCCTGGGCGGGATGTAGAGTGTCTTGGCTGCTCCCCGGGATGTGGGGAGTCTGGGATGTGAGGTGTTCGGGATGTGGAGTGCCCGGGCTGCTCCCGGGGATGTGGGGTGCCCTGGATGCTTTCTGCGGGATGTGGAGTGTCAGGGGGCTGCTCCCCAAAGGATGCGGGGAGCCTGCTGACCTCCCCCCGGGATATGGGGTGTCCGGGGTTCTTCCCTGTGGGAGTGTCCGGGCTGTTCCCCGGGATGTCGGGTGCCCGGGCGGAATGTGGGGTGTCCGGGGTTCTGGCCCCCCGGGATGTGGGATGCTAGGGATGTTCCCTGGGATGTGGGGTACTCGGAGTGCTCCCCCCGGGATGTTCCCGGCGGGGCGGGGCTCCCGCGGGACTGGGGTTGCAGGCAGGGAACACGTGTTTAGAAGCTCCGTGGGTGGGTTTCCCGCAGCCTCGACTGACCAGCGCAGAGCTGGGGTGTTCCCGAATCCCACGGTTTTGTTGGCATGATTTTAGGCTGAGCTTGCTCTTTAGCTCTGCACCACCATCTCGGTGCTTGTGCCAAAACCACACAATTCCTGCTCAGTCTCCTTCCTCATTTTGGGTAGGGATGGAGAATAAATTACTTTATTTTACCTTTAAATTAACATCTGGGTTTTATAATCCCTGTTGATGGTCAGGGTCCAGCCCAGTCTCCACACAGAAATTTGAGTAAGGCTCTGCAGGTGTAACCTCCACTTCCCTTGGATTTGCAGGAGCAAAGCAGCCTTGTGCTCAGGCCTCCTTCTCATCCCTTTGGGGCTGGGGCAGAGCCCTCCCTTCTATAACGTGTTTCCCTTGTGTAAGTTGTGTGTAGAATGTTATTTTTGGACAAGCCATCCCTGCAGTGTTGTGAAAGGATGTTGGCAAAGCAGAAAATCAGCCTTGGTGAACCTCAGGGCAGGTTGTACCCACTGCAGCTCAGATGTGTGCTTCAAACTAAATCTTTGGTTCAGCTTAAGGGCTAAGAAAGTTACAGTAAATGACTGTATGCAGTGGATTTCTTTCCATTTTTAGTCCTTTTATTTTCCTTTTAAATTGTAGGAAGGATTTCTGCTGGGAGAGGTGAGGCAAGAAGAGACCTTTAGCATTAGTGATTCACAGATCAGCAACACTGAATTTCTACAAGTGATTGGTAAGTGATGTAACTTTGAGACATTCTGAGATTGGCACTGCTCAGGTTTTAAGTTCTCAGGACAAAATTTCATTAAGAATCACTTCACTTGTGAGACCGTCACAGGGTGTATCATATTTGCCACAGTGTCTATGTGTTTGTGGTTGTGAGGAAAGGAAACAGACCTTTGCTAGTTACAGGGTTTTTGTGCATCTCCTTGTGTGAAGAAAAGATTGTTTATTGGAGACATTTATCTGCATTTCATGATGGAGAAATTACTTACTTAGCTGTTGGTCCTGCAGAGAGTTTCTCGATACAGTTGCCTAAATACAGCATGTGCTCAAAGTGAAATGAATTCATTGCTTGATTTACTAAGACTGGAAAGGGGCAGATTTTCAGTAGAGGGTTTGGATGGACAGCTGGGAGCTGGCAACATCATAAACTGTCACAGCAAGACTGGACAAGAAATATTTGTCAGACAATTTGTTTGACTGGCACAAGGACTCTGCAGCTGATCTGTGTGAAAAGTGAAAGAAGATTGAAGCTCTTGCTGCTAAGTGTTAGTTGAATTAGATTTTTCATAGATGAGTGAGAAGCTGTTGCATGTTTTTAGCTCTTTGGTTTGTAGAAAGTAGGAAAGCCCTGAAAGAAAAGGCCTTTTTGTTTCTGTATATATAACCAGATGTTAAAATATATCTAAACCTTCCTAAAAACCCAAATGTGTCCATACCTGGCTTTGGGAATCTGATCTCAGATAACAAAGCAGGGTCTGCATAAAGCTCAGGTAACACACAAACATCTTTGGATTGACTCTCAGTTGTTTTTCTGACACAGAACTGATGATCTGAAGTGATGATGGTGTGCACAGTGTGCACAGCAATCCAGAAGGTTGAGTAGTTTCCTGTTCTGGTTATTCCTAAGAGATCAAGGGTGGTAAATTGACTGAAGTGTCAATTAATTAATTAGTTAGTTGGGCTAAATTACAGAAAGTAAAGGCATAGCATTTTTTGTGTGTGCATATAATCACTGTCAGAGCACTGTCTGAGGGAAGCAGCTGATAGCTCTGTGTGTTCAAAATAAACTGACAGAGCAAGTCACTTTTTGAAGTTTCTAAAGCAGACACTGCTCTGCAGTGGTCACTGATCCTGGTTATTGTTGGCAGTGATGTCACCAGCTGCAGCCTTGGCCTGGTTTCCTAAACCAAGTGTTTGTGCTGTTAAAAATCACTCCCTTTTTAGATCACTGCTTTGTCACATTATTAGTTACAGTTACTTTATGAAAATGGAAATTACCCACCCATAAGGACCTTCTGGATATTTTTTTTTTTGTTTACCAGACTTTTACTTCAATATGTATTTGTGAACATTGACTCTTGAACTCCCAGTTCAGCTCAGGGGATTGACAGTTTTGTGGCACTGTTGTCACAGATGAGTTTTAACTTCTTTTATCTGTAAGATCAGTGGTGATGTTTGAGTATATATGTGTGTATATACAGCATGCATGCTATATCTATAAATAAGCCAGTGTGTAAGCCTTAAATTTAGAATGTTGGCTGCTTCATGTGGTCTGAGCAGGAGGCTTGTTGCTTCCTGTTTTTCAAAACACGAGGTCTGTGTGGCAATACCATAACCCAAGGATCAAGTATGTTGTTGCAGTCAATATATTTCCTGGAAAACAGTGGTCTAAGCTGCAATAATTGCACTTACTGGCTTTGTTAGCAGATTGTTTCCTGCATGATGGTGCAAAAATACTGGAGTTGACACAATTCTGTACAATTCCTAAGAAAGCAGCTCTCACAGCAGCATCCTGAGGAGTTCTTGCTAGTGAGGATGTACAGTTTCTTGGGCAGGGGGCCTGGAATGGATGCTCTGGGCCTTGTTTTGATAGACACTAAATATGCTGGGATGTTAATGTGTGCAGTCTGCTGTTCCTGGGAAGTGTGATCCCAGTGTGACTCTGCTGAGATGGCAGCCCTGAGCAGCAGGTGGTGTGTCACCCTCCAGGAAGGAAGAGTCTGAACAAAGTTGTTGCTAAACACTCCAGTGGGGTTCTGCTGTGGGAGCTGGAAATATTAGTGCTACATCATTGTAGAATCCCAGAATCATGGAATGGTTTGGGTTGGAAGGGACCTTAAAGCCCATCTCATTCCAACCCCCTGCCATGGGCAGGGACACCTTCCACTAGACCAGGTTACTCCAAGCACCTGAAAAAATAAGTCATGTTTGGTGTTGGAGAGATAATGGGGATTGGATTTTTACTCTTCTTACTCATCTCTGAGATTACTGCCATGTTACAACCTTTGCTCCTTAAATAAGCACGTTAGCATTTATTGCAACCTTTTCGGTGAAAAAATGCTGCTCTGAGTTTTTAGTTTCTCATAAAACAGAATTACAAATTGCAGCTAAGTGTTTTGAAATGGGTTTGAACCCCTTTTGTCATTATAGACTGTTTGCCTTGCCTCTTGAAACACTCCTGTGTATAACATTACAGTGATTGCCTTCCCCATCCCTTTTTTTTCTTCACTGCTGCTGTAACAAAGTGTCTGTGAATGCAAGTAAAGTGTTGTGGAAATGGATATCCAAGAGAAAAAATGCTTTTGTGAGGAGGTTACAACTATAGTATTAAAATATTATTGTGTGTATTTGAAGCTCCTATATCTCTGTGTATCTGAGCAAGTGTGTGTCTTATTAAAATATTTCCCTCTGTAAAATGTCAGATTATAAAGAGAAGCCAGTTTTCTGGGTATGGTGCTGTGTCATCAAGCGTTGCTGAGACATTAAGGGCAGTGTGTGGTCTGACACAAATGTTTGTTTGCTCAGTAGCTGTGATGTGGAAAGTTCATGCCACTGTAATTTCCCTTTGCCTTAAGCAGCTGGACATATGTCTCTTTTTTTTCTTTGTTGTTGCAGAAATCCATAACCATGAGCCTTGTTCAAAACTCTTTAGGTAAGCTTTTTTTGTTGTCTTCCTGTGTTGGATGCAGAATATAAAAATAGGGAGCTCACTGCAATGTATTAGCATTTCAAATGTCCCCACCAGTGTTTGCTCATCTGATGGTATTACAGAAATCCATGGAAATGGCACCAACCATGACAATGAAATTATGAGATCACAGTTTTAGTAGCACTTACCTTAGGTTGGAAGGGGCTTATTTCTCTATCTCCTTGAATTTCCATCTTGGGTAGCTGGTGGAGGTAGAATAGGAGTCAGTTCAAATCATACCACTCTGATAATGAGGATGGATGTCAAAATCAATTGAAATTATTGCAGTTTTAGGTTGGCTCTGCCTGGGCCTGGTGGGTCACAGCACACCCTGGTGCCCTAACCCTTGTACCTTGTGGGGTTACCAAGTTGTTTTGTGGTTAGTTGTACTGACCTGCACCAGCTAATTATTCTGAATCTTTCAGCTTTCTAGTGATTTTTGCCTCTGATCTTCTGAACTCCAGATACAAATTAAATATGGGGCTAATGTATTCTATTTAACAGCTTCCATCTATTTACATGTAGATTTTCTCTGTGGTCTTCACTTGTTAATACAGTGATGCCTTCTAAAGCGCTGTCTAGAATTCCTTTTTAGAAGGAATTCCCAATTAATCTCCTCCTGTCTTTATTTGGAGATTTCCAGCCAATTAAGAAGACACAGTAGCTTAGATATTATGATTGACAGTGGTTGCATTAAGAGAAAAGCTGCAGTCAGTCACTTGCTGGTTGATAATTACAGAGAGGGTACTCTGAAGGCAGTGATTTAAATGCTGCAGACTCCACACATGGAGATAATATCCCAGTGTCTGGGAGGCTCTTCCTGGATCCCAGGGATGCTTTGTGCAGTGCATATCCAAACAGATCACGTTCCCTGCTTCCCCCAGTCAAGGAATGGGTTGTTAGTGCCTGAGCTGATGGAGGGAGGGGAGAAGTATCCCCTGTGTGCTGCTGCACAGGAAAAGGGTGAATCCACTCACTGCAGAGCACGAGGGAAGCTCTCACAGCTCACGCACTTTTTATCAGTACCAGAGTGTGCTGTTGGTTGTTCTGCTCCACTGATTGTAGCAGATGCTGATTTGGGCTTTTTCTGCCTTGTCCTTTTGACTTAATTGTAGCCAATGTGAGGCCTACTGCTCATCCACTGTGTTCTTGTAAGCTGGCACTGCTGATGTTGGGTATGACAGCCTTGGTTCCAGTGCTGGTACTGAATGAGAAGCAAGGATTTTCAAAAGACTGATTTCTCTGTCTGTGGAGTTTTCAGATGGATGTCTTTCATTACATACCAGTTGCTCATCCTATAGAAAAATTACTCTTATAAAGCACAGAGGGAGAAAGAATTGCATAGCTACTACTTACCAGAATGCATAAATAAA